ATACTGCCGATTTCACTTAAAATTTTAACTCACTCACTCTCAACGTATGACTTATATGTGTTTGTATCCCACGAACATATTGCCTAAGAAGACAAAATTTTGAACGAAAGAGTACATTGCTTAAAGCATATTTTCACTGTGGAAAGCGGACTTGCATTCGAAATTAGAGAACAAAAATAGTTTCAAATGTGAACTTCAAAGAGCATCCCATAGCAGTCATTTATTTTATGTTTAACAAGTGAATCGAATTCAACGACGAAACATGGATCCAATATGCAAATCCCTTTTGATGATAAAAGCATTTGCATTTTTTCTTAATCAATTCACAGTCATCGAATGCTTTCAGGATTACACCTTCTTCAGAATGCAATCAATCTTCTTCTATAGCTACAAAATACGACATGCCATAATAATAGTTGAGTTTACCATGAGCTCTTATGATTAAGAGTAGGATGTTGCTGATTGTATTCATTATCCCCGATGGCACAAATTATACAAACTGAAATTTCGTCTTTTCCTGTCTTGTTTATGATGACATTAAATCATCCATTGCAGTAAGGCATAAACTATGTCTGTGATGAGATTAATTCATGAGAACTGATGTGTGAAGCACCAAGAAATATGCATTTTAAATTTGTCATAGTATGGAACAGTTTTAAAATGCTATACACTTCTACTGGTGTGTTGTTAAGCACAGACGATCAAGTGAGTAATGCAAACACATCTGTTCACTGCTAGAGACCTCTGGTTCATATATGCAAGTACGTATCACAGTGTATACTCAACATTGTTATGAGGGTGTGTTTTTTTGTAATTTGTAAAAATCATTAATTAGGTTACAGTTATTATGGGTCACAAGGTTTAAAGTTTTGAGTGTTGGTTTTGGCTCACATCTCGCATCATGTATGTTCAATGGCAATATTATTTTTAGCGGTACGCCTTTTTTGATAGCGCTTCAGAGTTGCCTCCCTTGACAATCTTATTTACGGCTTTCATCATGTCGTGTTTGACAGATTTCGTGAAAGTTCTGAGTGGATAATGATACAGCCTATTACTAGAATGCTCGAGAACTGTGTAAGAGCTACACAAAGGCTGGTTGTTGCGTTGTGCGGCGGAATCACATCGGACTTTTCATATCACTGGAGTTGTGTACATCTGTCTGCCATCGTCATCGTCTGACCTACATTTCAAGACTGACTGTGCTCGTCTATATTCAACATATGTCATTGTAAACAACCTTCAGTCAGTATATTTGCTCACATTGTAAATGTCAAGACTCTGGTGAGTTAATACTTTATATTTGTGACCCAAAATTATAGATGTGTGACTCAATTGCATTGTACTAGATATCTGTATTGTCATTCATTGTAGCTTGCTTATTGTTTGTTCAATATATTATTGAATATTTTAGACTTGTCTGTGTTCTATTTTGCTGGTTCAAAGGGGACTCTTTAACCTTTTATTAACCGTAACAACATATTGTCACAAACATGTGGGAAATCATGGGATGCTAATTCACGCCGAAGATCCGGGCTCGATTCCTCACATGGATACAATGAGTGAAGCCTATTTCTTGTTTATTTCGGGTATTACCCGCCGTGAATGGCTGTGATGTTGCCAACACCACACTTATTAACAAACTAATCGACAAGAAGATGCTGATGTGTTTTCCTACTCTGTCAAACAAGACAATTAGTTTTGGTGAAATCAATAGAATTAATTTCTTGCTTCGTGGAAATGTTTTACAATCATTTCGTAAGGGGATCATCGGATGAACGTTATTTCAAAGTATAATGGAAATTATTAGGTCGCGGCAGTGTGTCTCAACACGTCCCATATTTCACAGTTACTAGTAGGTAGTTCAAGAAACATCAAGATGAATTTATCATACTTCTGAATACCTTTCAACGGTGTCCTTAGCCATTTGTCTGTTTACTCAGATGGGCAAGGCTATGCGTTGTATGTTGATCGATCACGATCAGGTGAAATCCTGGAACTCGGTCAGTTTGATTTGAAACTTATACTTTGGGCCACTTCTTGACGTAATCACTGTGTTCTGATTTCGCCTGAGAAGAGATTCTGAATTTGACACTTATTTGGTGAAAGTTATAGTTGGTGCAAATGGGATGCCTACTTCTGTCCTTAAGGTCATATCTCTACATTTCATGCTGGCATAGTTCATTCGGAAGTTCGGAGTTTTACATAATTGTTTTCTCATTAAACTTGTCATAATACTCATTAACTTGCGGGTTAGAATTAGTCTTCATAAACCATGCTAGTCGTAAGAGGCGACTGACGCGATCGGGTGGTCAGACTCGCTGACTAGGTTGACACATGTCATCATATCCCAATTGCGTAGATCGATGGTCATGCTGTTGATCAGTGGATTGTCTGGTCCTGACTCCATTATTTACAGATCTCCGCCACATAGCTGGAATCACACACACACACACACACACACACACACACACACACACACACCTTAAATATACATGTTAAAGGAATTTAATATACCCCAGTTTAATGCTACGCGAGTGCTGCACTCAGAGAGAACAGGACGTAAATTACATCCAAACATGACATAAACCCCTGCACCAAATAATCGATCAAATTTAATCATCCTAATCGGAAAATCATGTTGACGTCTTGCGCAGCAGTACAATCTCCTTTCCATCTGGGCTATATATGTTCATTCCACTTTCCCTCTTTTTCAAATATGCTTCAATCGATGTCAGTTCCTTATGTAATTTAATGCATGTCACGAAAGATGTAACGAGGCTGGAACCGAACAATGTCGTATCATTCATTACATCAATAAGTCCTGGGGGTGGTTATAGGCAGTACTTTGAAATGATTGTGAAATACATCAGATTGACATCACAGGGATAGAAGACAAACTGATGTTTTCAATACCAGTCGTGTTCATATCCGTTACGAATGTCAAGGGACGTCTGTCTGAAGATTTCAGACAGAATCATATGTAAATGTTTGAGGCTGTGAAACGCATTCAGGTATCTATGGAAGCCTTGAAGGGAAACTGTCGCATTGTCGCCCTCATGAAATTTTAACCAAGCGCGACAATGCATTGAATGGATGGATAGTCGCCCTCAAGAAGGCTTGGTGTAACATAACAGTCAATGTAACGTGTTTATTGTAAATGTGCAAACGACCAAGAAAATAACAAAGAGTCATACGACGGCATTGATCAAACGTTCCTTGAGACGGCATGGCATGGTCTGGCTCGATCTCCCAACGACGATTAGAGATTCTCGCCCTCTTCAGTTACTTCCCCATGGCCCATTTCAGTGTATGTTTCAGGTGACCTTCCTGTACCAATAAGGGCAAATTCACAGTTCACGGACACGGCACGTGGTGTTCCGAGCACCGGGCTAATACAATGAGGACGAAATACCGCTCACTGATTTCATTACCGTAGTTTATGTAAAGTAATTAATATGCATATTGAGGAGGACTGAACCATGGAACAATTTGCCACACCAGTTATTGGTCTATAAGATAAATTTGTCAAATTTGGGTTTTAAAATATCATTCAGTCGATTTTCAGGTATTATTCCAATGTTGAAAGGGGCGGTGGGGTAACCTAATGGTTAAAGTGTTCGCTCCCCACGCCTCAGGCCCTGATTCGATTCACCACATGGGTACAAAGTGTGAAGCCCATTTCTGGTGTCCAACGCCCTGATATTGCTGGAATATTACTAAAAGTGACGTAAAACCAAGTTCACACACTCACCAATGTTGAAAATATCCTTAAAGATTACCGTCAACAAATATATATAAAGAAGTATTATACTGATTTGCTTTGCAATTACCTCCAGAGCGTTAGTGTTCTTGCGATTTTATATGGACTGAATTATTTTATCTTCGTTAAAGTCACAATCCAGAACACGGATGCTAGATTGGGAAACTGAACATATAACATATTTAGATCTGTGTCTTATGTCTCTTTATGGAAATTGTGGAAAATAAGATCGATAAAACTTTTTTTCTGTGTTTCATCGATGTCATTCAGCTCAAAGAAATAATACACGTACTATATCCGTCAACATCTCCTCATCGTGAGAATTAATGAAGCTGAAAACACTGCCGAGAACATTTCAATACCTTTGACCTTCTAAAGCGCTTTATGTAGGCCTCTTTTATGTACTTGACGATCCTGCATTCTATATATAACTGATGGAAATAGTCAGTTAGGTCACTTCAAAGAGAGTTATCGTATTTGACCTTTTCGAGAACTTATGTGGGGTTGATTATAAATATACTCAGAGGAGAAACCTTTCCCAGAGTTCGCAAATGACAGAATATAATGGAACCACATTGAATATATTGACTACCTCTCGCTTGCTTCGATCGATTAAATCAACTAATTCATTCAATACAAAAGAGTACATGCGAAGACTTGAAAAAACTAAAAAACACAGTAATTACATCAGCGCGCTGATGAGAGCCACACAAACATGAATGACGCATTGTCGCATGTTTTCGTTACTAATTTGATTCATTTACTACACATTAATCGAAAAGGCGATAATGCCACACATATATACATATGTCGCTTTGAGGCTCATGTTAAGTGCATCTTTGTCACGTTTTAGATGGTATGTCAGTCAGACAATTCGACATAGTTTGAACTTAAAATGATGTAACATTGTCCACGTTTGGTAACAATTAACATATATGAATATATTATTCAAATCACGACACTGCGACTATGGTCGCTCTTTGTTAAATGGTAAATATATTATTAAAAGCGTAAAAGTGCGATAATGCGACAGTGTCCCTTCAAGAATTCCAAAGCTCTCTACCTGCGAGGTAAACCTCTCACTAAACCACGCGTGAACGTGTACATTACCTTCTATCGAATATTTCAGAATCGTTTACTGACAGGCTATCATGTCTCCTTTGATGTTCCTCAAATAGGTGAATGAAACCAGTAACACGTGGACGTGAATTTCTATCAACACAGGCATCACTTTGCTGGGGTGCTGAATCAATGGCAAGCATTGCATCTCGGCTAATACGCTAACGGACGTTGACAGGTGTTTCGGAACAGATGATGCTTTTCCTTAATCCGGGTTTGACACATATTCAGACCTGAAGGTAAATGTCGATTGGTTTAGTTGCCCAGACGGAGAGAGGTTGTCAGGTTACGCCCCCACACAGTCGTGGATGCAGACGCATGTGTGATGTCGAGGATGTATACCTTGCAGGTGGTGTTCTTGGTGATGTGCATCACATTGCAAATTTGGACATCGTCACTTGGTGAGTTCATAGTGCTGCTATATGGCACAAAACTATTTTCCCATTGTGTATTTAGATGTGTTGAAATGGTATAGTGCATTAACATATTATATAATTATATAAATGTAGTGGCATACATACCCACCAACAGAAACATCGATGTATGAACGAAGGTGCCTGTCAAGTAACATCCTGCAGTTGCAGATTCTCTCGTTATTATAAATGTAGTGGCATACATACCCACCAACAGAAACATGGATGTATGAACGAAGGTGCCTGTCAAGTAACATCCTGCAGTTGCAGATTCTCTCGTTATTATAAATGTAGTGGCATACATACCCACCAACAGAAACATCGATGTATGAACGAAGGTGCCTGTCAAGTAACATCCTGCAGTTGCAGATTCTCTCGTTATTATAAATGTAGTGGCATACATACCCACCAACAGAAACATGGATGTATGAACGAAGGTGCCTGTCAAGTAACATCCTGCAGTTGCAGATTCTCTCGTTATTATAAATGTAGTGGCATACATACCCACCAACAGAAACATCGATGTATGAACGAAGGTGCCTGTCAAGTAACATCCTGCAGTTGCAGATTCTCTCGTTATTATAAATGTAGTGGCATACATACCCACCAACAGAAACATGGATGTATGAACGAAGGTGCCTGTCAAGTAACATCCTGCAGTTGCAGATTCTCTCGTTATTATAAATGTAGTGGCATACATACCCACCAACAGAAACATGGATGTATGAACGAAGGTGCCTGTCAAGTAGCATCCTGCAGTTGCAGATTCTCTCGTTATTATAAATGTAGTGGCATACATACCCACCAACAGAAACATGGATGTATGAACGAAGGTGCCTGTCAAGTAACATCCTGCAGTTGCAGATTCTCTCGTTATTATAAATGTAGTGGCATACATACCCACCAACAGAAACATGGATGTATGAACGAAGGTGCCTGTCAAGTAACATCCTGCAGTTGCAGATTCTCTCGTTATTATAAATGTAGTGGCATACATACCCACCAACAGAAACATGGATGTATGAACGAAGGTGCCTGTCAAGTAACATCCTGCAGTTGCAGATTCTCTCGTTATTATAAATGTAGTGGCATACATACCCACCAACAGAAACATGGATGTATGAACGAAGGTGCCTGTCAAGTAACATCCTGCAGTTGCAGATTCTCTCGTTATTATAAATGTAGTGGCATACATACCCACCAACAGAAACATCGATGTATGAACGAAGGTGCCTGTCAAGTAGCATCCTGCAGTTGCAGATTCTCTTGTTATTATAAATGTAGTGGCATACATACCCACCAACAGAAACATGGATGTATGAACGAAGGTGCCTGTCAAGTAGCATCCTGCAGTTGCAGATTCTCTCGTTATTCAGAAGGTGTCTTCCACTGTTAACCACTAGAATATTGTTTTAATGATTGTCTCCTTGAAAATATGAAACAATAATAAGGTGAATATTGCACTTATTGATTATAAATGAGCGAGTAAGAGGAGAAGGCAAGTAACATCGATTGGATTGGGTCAGTTAATTGTGTGTTTACCGAGAAAAACGATCGTAGATTCTTGGTACGTTGAATCATGTAATCAATATTCTTTAAATGTGTTAACAGATATTTTGCTGATCACCGAAGCGAATGGGAAATGTCCACATCCCGTTGTGTGCCTTAGAAATGACTCGGCCATTGATCAGTTCAAACTGACCTTTTACCTCGTTTCTGCTCAAGAGCAATTTGCTGCGTGGAAAACAGGTAGCCTTTCTTACTTATTTAAAACCTCACTCAATTACCATTTACATGTTTGCCTAAACCTGTTAATTGTTTTGGTATATATGTCACTACCTTTTGTGTTGATTTAGGTGGTGCTGCTTGTTTGGGAGGGGCTTATGGGGCGGTTTATGAGAGAAATAGAGGGACAAATATGATCAGTTTGAGCAGGGAGACTATATAAGGGGGTAGTGGTCACTCCTCGGAAAGCCCCTAAGCTATGCCTCGGCTCGTCATGTGACCAGTGTAGCCAATATGGCGGCGGCGTAGTTTTTAAGATTGAGCCCGGTTTAGTTTTAACAGCTGATTACATACGCTGAGTGTTGTGACAACTGAAAACCTACATGTAGAAGATAAGTTACCTATTCTGTCACTTCATTTTAAGTCAAATAATTGTTATTAGTGTCAGTGTCAGTATTAGTACAGTAGATTTGTAGTAAAGTTTCAAGTCGGCATGTTGTAGCTCACTGGCTTCAATTCTCAGTACACAGCGAAGAAAGACTAAATTCTATCGCTAAAAACTTCTTTCACATATTCGTTTAATTTTTAGAAGGGAAATATACCTTTAGTTGAAAGGTGTTTGCAAGTAATAGTGATAGTTTTATAACTAAACATTTTTTGTTAGGGTGTATTTGAGGTGTGTGAAAAATATGACATATCTCCGATCTGCCATTGAAATACTACAGGGCGTTGTTTGAGTGTTTCTAGTTATTGTTCTAAAACATCTTTCACATACACCTTTAATTTTTATGAGGGGAATATACCATCAGGTGAAAGGTGTTTGCAAGTAATAGTGATAGTTTTATAACTTAAATTTTTTTTTTAGGGTGTAGTTGAGGTGTGTGAAAAATAAGACGCCGATCTGTTCCGATACGCCATTGATGCTTCTGAGGCTTGAGTGTTATAGTTCTAAAACTTCTTTCTTTCTTGTTGATCTTAGTATTTGACAAAACTGGAAAGGTGTTTACAACGCTTTGTGATAGTTCTAAACTTTCTGTTTTTGAGAGGTGTGCGACAGTGTCAGTTAACATTCTGTCAATGCCGATGTCATTCCACACATGCAATAAGATATCTGAATTAGTTACTAATGTAAAAAAATGTCTCAAAGTAGATTTTGTTTAAAAAGGACAGCTGATGTTAACACATGTGTTCTACCGATAGTTTTGTGTTCTTTAACATGTTTGGGGAGGGATGGCCGTGGTGTATCATTATTCTTTCATTCATTCACATAAAGTTCTTTTCTTTTGTTCTTTTCTTTATTTCTTTCATTCATTCACATCTAATTCTTGCTCTTAATTAATTCATTCATTCATTGTAAAATTCCGACTGATACAATACACTGGCTGAAGTACTGTTAAACGCAGCCGAAGTTGCGCTGGGAACGAACCAAGTCACTGTGTGCGTTGGAGCATGACGAGGCACACGCTAATTAGTACAAATGGTAAAGAAAGCAAGCGCGTGACCTATCCCTGCTGTAGAGTATCCCTGGTTTGAGGCATCCATGGTATTTTAGAAATCCCTGATTCCATTTGATCTGTATGGTGCATTTCGCTAATATCTAAAATAATGGAGAAGTCAATGCTGGTTATATAGGTACTCATGGTGGTCTAGTTACATCCATACCGTGTTTGAGTTTCAGCGAGATCGGTACATGGGGATGTCGTGATCATGGCATCCCTCTCTTCCTGTCAGCGTCACTTCACTCCCACCACCAGCAGGGACGACTTCAACATCACCTTCTGCTCCTCCATCTGCCCCGCGTTCCTATCCAACCAGGAAATATTCATTCATACAGTATTCAACGTCACAAATGCAAAGCAGTCTAACTTTAATTCCCTCATCAGACCCGATTCTATGGAAGATGTCATGAGAGCCATCATCTCAATACTCAACCATGTGAAGTGGAAGACGTTCGTTGTTATAACTTCATCTTATGACGGTAGGATATAAAACACTCCAAACATTCTATAACAAATGACTAAGCAGCAGAGCTTGAAATAGTAGAAAAGTATTCCCTTGCATTTACACAAGTCAATTAGGGATACAGTAATACTTCAGATACAACATTCAAGTATATATTATATATGACTTCGTAAACAAACGCAATAATGGATATTATATGCAATTTTGGATACAACAGTCCAGTATTTGTATACGCCACTCAATTGATGATATTATACACACATTCGTTTAAGAATAAGATACATTTATATATAGCTTAGATATATTTACCATACATTGCTTTAGCATATGCCTTGGGTGCCGACAAACGACGGTCATACAGCCGGGCTCTGATAACTTACTTCCTTACAATTCACGCTACGATTTATTATTTGAAATATTCTATGGGGCCAAAATGACCTATATTCTAAAATATTGCGTCGTAAGAAAATTGATTGTGTAACTTTCGTCAATACATCAGCTAGAAACGCTAAAACAGACATGATGCTTATGGTATTTACAGTTTTCACTGAACTATCTGAAGGTACGCTGGCTTCGTTCAAGCTAATGCAAGTGGATACAAAAGTATAACAGATATAACAGATGAAAACATCAATTGTAATGGAATCAGCATGCTAAACCATAACCAATATAATGCTCACTAAATGACACTTTTTACATTTTGGTCCCTAGTATGGTGATCTACCTTCAGTTGTTGGCGATCTATAGCCCATTTTTACATTGTATTGTCCAGAAATACTTTTTTACTTTTAAACATATGTGCTAGCTAGTTTTAACTCAACCTGTGATAATCTAGTGGTTTTACTGTCCTTCGTTGACAGGGTTTTATATATTATATGTATGTATTATGAATTTAGAACTAGTTTTACTCACGATATGGTTGAAATATTGCCGATGTGACTTTAAATATTAACTCACTTACTCACTCACTTTTTACATTTTGACTGTTAACAATTATTTTCATATACTGCGTCGACCAAAAACAATCAATATTATTAGTGAATATTCCATCAGAAAATTAGTAAAATATCAGCCAAGAAGGTTATATCCCATGAACTACTTTCCAGGTGTCTTTGTTCACAGTTTTGACTGCACTATCTGGAGGTCGACTGGCTTCGATCAAGTTACTGCTATACATGATAGATGATCCCAACAATCCACTTGAAAGTATTGACCTCGCCAGTATCTACGAGCTGCTTCCGGTGAAGGACCTCAACCTTCTTGTGGTGTGTCCATTCGAATGTATACAGAAACACCTCAATCAGGTAGTGCTTCCAATTTCAGTCCAGTTTGAAAGGTCAGCTACAATAACAGCTATATTGGTGCTGGATACCGTTTCAAAACACGTGTGTTTACTTTGATACCTGAATATGACAACATACATTTTACATAATTTTACTATGATAAAACATCTGAAGGAAATTTGAAGGAAATACCAAGTTTCCTTAACATCTCATATACATAACATTTTAAGATTTACGCCTGTTTTAAGTAATACTAATATTATAAGTATATTTTCTCTATCGTTACGAATGACGGAAGTGTTTTACAAGACTTTTAAGGGCAGAATATAAGGACATTGGGGTAGCTTCACAAAGATCAGGTCAATTCAATACTGCTTGCAACGTAGAATTACTTGGGAAAGATAAAGCTTGTATGATGTGCTATGTATTGTCAGGCTCACGTGTTGGAATCAAACACGTCAGTGGAGAAGTCAACTAGGCTCTCTCAATGGCTGATGGTTCCTTCCGCCGGAAGTGTCATGGATATTGCGCACAGCCGTGAGCCATTCAAAACTGAGGACGTTGTGTTTCTGGAGTTCATGCCGTGTTCGAGGTACTATTTACCACTGGTAAGCAACTGTTGGACGTGCGTTCATCTTATGCAGTTAACTGCAAAGACATAGTTGGGAGTGCAAGGGAATACTTGTTAAAGTATCAGTGGTGTGAAATGAATTCGGTGGAAAGAGAAAACACAGTTTATGTGAACATTTTTCTTCTATCCTCCATGCAAAAGCAAGGATGTGAAAAGTCCCATTGAATTCCAGCATTCTACCTTTATCGAAGACATGAAAGTTAAACATTGTATTGATGTACATGTTATGGTAACTCGTGTCATATTTGCAGAACCTGGAGATTACCACGAAACATTTACAAACCTTAGGAAGATTTAATATCACAGGTCAGGCTGCCGAGACAACAGGATGTGTTCACAAGGTAAATGTTGTCAATATCTGAAGTTACACGATCACCACCATAGGCTTGTGACCATAGTATTTGGACTGAGTGATAATATCTGTGGTAAAACTCAATACAGTAAACAACTGTTTTAACGAACTCAGAGGAACCATCAATTCTAATTCGTTATAACCATTAGTTCGTTAAAATATAGTTTTTTACTAAAATATAGTTAGTTATATGCGTGTTTGATATAACATTATCTTGGTGTATATGTGCACTGAATAGCTGGCTTCAAGTAATACAGATGTTTTACCTTATATTAGTGTAAAATCTCAATGGTCAACTGATAAAGCTGCACTGTATGACTTCCAGCTTTGTCTCTATAAAAACATCTCAGCAATATACTGCCATGGTTATTACTATACATTGTCAGCTAACGAGTTGGGAAGTGATTGAGCCTACAGTCTACTCCTCTATTGTTTGCAACGTCATTAAAGTCGGTCGCCGCCTTATTGTAGTCATGGATACAAGAGAGATACAAACGTGACTGAAATATTAGTTCCGCGATTTAGGTATTTTGTCAATCAATTTCGAAAGGAAACATCATTAGTGAATGAAAGAGATTGTTGGTTTTAGATTAAAGCTCTCAACCTTGCCTCAAATAAACCTTGTTAAAATAATATTCATATATGCTCATTTTGCCAGAGCAAAATAGAGCAGTGTTGATCACATATTTATATTTAACGCTGTTGTACAAAAATATTTACCTAGGAAAAAGGGTAGGTTTTATTGTGTATTCATAGATTGTTCAAAAGCTTTTGATACAATCAACCAGTTTTATTTGACTGTTTGAAAGATAATGAGATAAATGGCAGGTTTTATCATATTTTGTTATCGATGTTAGCCCTCAGCTTGTGTTATTTAAAACACCCAGTGGTCTCACTCACAGGTTTAGGTGTAATTAAGGCACCCGGTTATTCATTTTTTCATAAAACAAACTCTTCTCAATTTTTGAAACATTTGGTGGAAAAGGTGTAAATAATACTATTAATGTGGATAATCTTTATGCATTGATGTTTGCAGATGTGTCTGGAAGTGCTGACACTGCACTTCTATTACAGAAGAGTTTAAACGCCCTAGAGTTGTTTTGTAAACATAATGGTATGAAAGTTCATTTAGCTAAAACTAAAATAATTTTTCCGCAATTCTGGTCCTTTAAGACATTATAAAAATTGTGTTTTTTTTAAAGTAAACAAATTGAAGTTGCTACATTTTATAGATATTTTGGAATTGTTTTCTCCTCAAGGTTAGTTTGGACTTAAGACCAATGTCGTCTCTTTTCCCAGGCAAATAAAGAACTCGTGTCTATCTATTCCTGCCAAAAAAACTTTGGCCATATGACAGCGAATAATGTTTTTAAATTATTTGGTGCAGTTATTTTACCTATTCTATGTTTTGGTTCTGAAGTGTGGGGAACTTCTTATTGTACGATTATTGAAGGTTTCCAAAGTAAAATTTGCAGGCGGTTCTTAACAGTTGGTAGAAATGTTAGTAGCAGTTTAGTTCTAGCTGAATGTGTCTGTCTGTATATATGTATGTCTGTCTGTCATCTTCCCAGATATCAAATCATTCAGTAGTATATTTACCTCGCGAGTTAAAAAGGTATTTAATATGTTTACCGAGCACTTTTCACTAAAAGACATAAGGTAGGTCATTTTCCATGAACTTTACTCTAATAAAAACGTGAGGTGTGCCCCTTGGACTTATTTGTACAAATCAAACGAAATGTCATGCACTCTTACATGACAGAAACGTTGTTTCATTCATGATACAGGGCATTTACTTACGTACTAACAGTACTTGATTTATACCTTGCACAAATATCGCCTTTTGCACAGATTTCTCATATGAAATGCTTTCCACCTTCAATAAAATATTTCAGGTAAGTTCAAGAAACTTTAACAAACCTATGTTCGGTTGGGCTTTAACCTCTGTATGTTTGCAATACTGGATATTTTCATAAAAATGTTCATTTTTCTACCAAGAATACGTGTGAAACGTTAATCTATTCGCACTCTTTAAGATAACTTTACTCTTACAACAATGTGGCCTAATATTTTCATTTACTGAGTGGACACGATGAGCTCGAAATATATTTACTGAGCATTGCACTGTTTTCACCCATAAGAAGTGTGAACTTTTATGCTGTTAATTTGTTTTGGGCATTATGATTATTGAAATCATTTGGAACAAATTTAACCTCTTGCAAGGATTCTTTATATGAGAAGCATGTTCGGTTGGATATTAACGGATTGCAAACGTCCGGATATTCTTATGACAATGTTCATATTTTCATATTTTAATCTTATCTAATACCATTTGGTTAGCCATAGGGTACGTCCCATGTAATAGCAATACAGTTGTCTGACTACGGTGTAAAACCCTACTGCTTACCTAATACAACTGTGATATCTGATTATGCCATAAAATCAAATGAGCACAATCTTCGTCTGCAGACTGCAGTCATAAGTGAAGTTTTAAGCACAGACCCCACTGGAACAAAAGTCGACACCGTAGGCTATATTGCGAGTGATGGCGATGTGGGAGTCAAGCATGAACTCTATCATGCCAGGAAATATGGATTTTACAACCGGACGTTAATTGTCGGGACGCTGGAGGTCAAATATACTTCATGTTCGGAGAGAGTATTTTTTAGATCATGAAGATGTGTTTCCGACGTTCACCTAACATGCAAACATTCTGTTTGGCAGTATTTGATTAAATTACAGACAAACATGTAATATTTATTCCACATTTTTGTCACCACCTTACATGTGGTGTAAAAGGGACAGTCCAGGGTATTCTTCTGAACTGACTACCTATATTTATTTCAACCTTCGCATGGCAGTAATACTGTTGTGAGCCGTCAGGTAAAGAATACTTCCAATTTTAGGCAAATTGTTTAAATTGCAGGTGCTACCTGTAGGGCAGGGCATGTTTACCCTTTTCGCGAACACCCGGTGTTTTCACTGATTCTCAGTGATCCATTCATCTTGTTTCCACAGTTATGTTTCCCTTTACACCAAACGGGATATGTTTCTAAGGGCAGATATCACAGTGTATTCTTTTGCACTGACGTTTTAGATGAGTGGATAAACGGGATTAAGTGAGTTGATATATAGACTGAACTAAATATCGACTGCTGAGCAGAACTTCCTCTGACATGTTTGAAACGCCCAGACACCTGCTTCTGTTAGCTTTACTTTAGCACATTGCGTGCAACGTTCACTTTCTATCCTTGCAATGCACACCACGGAAATGTTTATACCTACAAGTTCCCAACTATATGTTTTAAAGTGCACCTGAAAAATCGTTGAGAAAATATTCAGGAATCTGGAAACACTAAAGGGATATAATTATTGTAAACTGTGGAAGTCAGTGCCTCAGCTCGTAAGACGACTCATCATGTCTTTATTTGTTCCTTATATCAAAAGGAAAGAGTTTGGCTGTATTCCAAGGTATATTAGATATTGTACTGCAACAGCAAAGATATATACATGTAGATATTTCTATGACATGATGTAAGTTTCCTGATGGAGCTTGTGAAGCCAAGTTCAAAATCACTTCAGTCGAAGATGATATATGAAAGTATGGATCCTGTAAAGATGGATTCTAGCCATGTATCTGCGGCCACTGATTGCCGTATAGTGAAAGCAGGGCAGAACGTATTTCGAGTAAATTCATTTTGTGATGAATAGTGACCTCAAATGTTTATAATATGAAGAACAGGTCAAGGGTACTAATTTCAGTTCTTCTCAACTGTTTGTTTTTAACAAAAACTCATAATGATGAAATATGTCGTGAATAACATCCGATTAACATCATATTAATGTGGTTTGTTATGTTTTGTAACACCTTTTTGTCTTGATACAGTGGGCACCATATGTGATCAAGAAAGTGGAGAACGGTTCTGTCTGGTTCGACGGTCTTTGTATCCAACTTGTGAAGGAACTGGCGAGACAACTCAATTTCAGGCAGGTTTAATGCCTATATATACAGTAACGAGCAGAAAAAATGCGACTTTTCACAGACGTAGTTTCAAAATTAATTTACTGATAAATTCAGTCATATTTTCCATACATCCACTCTGGATACTGAAGTTTACATTTATGCAAGTCAATAGTCTGTTAGTCCACCGTTTCTCTCGATGCACTGCTGAATACGGCGTCCCATGCTGTCAATCAAATTGTCTATGTAGTCCTGGGTAGGTCCACCCATATTTGACTGATGAGATTAGACGACTCAACGACACTCTTTGGTTCCAACTTTTCTAATTTGTCCTTCATAATCTGCCACACATTTTCAATTGGGTTCAGGTCTGGTGATGCCGCTGGAAATTTCTGTAAGGTCACGTGACTCGTTTCAAACCAGTTACAGGTGTGTCTTGACTTGTGTACAGGTGCATTGTCCTGTAAAAGTTGAAAGGTATTCAACTCTGTCCTATATGGGATTCCACTACGCCTTCTTGTATAAGTGGGGCGGTGGGGTAGCCAAGTGGTTAAAGCGTTCGCTCGTCACGCCGAAGGCCCGGGTTCGATTCCCCACATGGGTACAATTTGTGAAGCCCATTTCTGGTGTCCCCTGCCGTGATATTGCTCGAATATAGCTAAAAACGGCGTAAAATCATACTCAGTCAGTCAGTCAGTCAGTCAGTTCTTGTATAAATTGACAGTACTTGCGTGAATCCATCCTTCCTGTAATAGTTACCCCGAGTTTGCCTATACCACCCCAAACCATGACACTGGGTGAGAACTTCGGAACCATTTTGCAGCTACGTCCACCTCTTGACCACCTCTTTCTTGTGATCCTATAAAACTGAAACTTTGATTCGTCAGTAAAACCACATTTGAAAAGTCTGTACCCTGCATTTCCCTGCACCACTCGAGCCTTTTCTCCATATGTGCTGTTGTCGTCAATTGAACTTTCTTCGGCACTCGCTTGACATATCCAGATTGCTTTAAAGATCTTCTGATTGTCCATTCTGATACCTTAGGGGTTCCTTGACTCGACGCCTTCACAGCAAGCTGTTTTGCAGACCAGTTTGGGTACGCCGCCGCGAGACGCGCGATAGTCGTCTGTCATTTGCCCCAAGAGTAGCACGACGTCCCTAACCCTGCGTCAAATTTCTTAATATTTAGGTAAACAGAGGCCCGATGCAGTCCCGTCAGTTTCACAAGTCTAGTTACGGATGTAATACCTGCTTCATAATATGTCAAGAGTCTATTTCTGTTGTTTTGTAACGTCATGGCAAAGCTTCGGTATCGTCTGCTAGCAACGAGGTCACGTGATCAAGCCATCCCTGAACCCAAGGGAGATAATTCCATACCAACGAGGCAAGCTACTGGCGACTAGAAACAATGTATTTCGGCTTTTTTGATAGTAGGATCGAGTCTACAGAATAAAGTTTTTTGTCGCATTATTTCTGCTCGTTACTAGATATATATATGTGTGTGTGTGTGTGTGTGTGTGTGTGTGTGTGTGTGTGTGTGTGTGTGTGTGTGTGTGTGTGTGTGTGTGTGTGTGTGTGTGTGTGTGTGTGTGTGTGTGTGTGAGTTCTGAACCCTCTCCCTCTCTCTGTATTTGTGCGTATGTGTTCTCCAACATAGTTGTGACTTATTGTTTGTGTGTTTGATAGCTACACACTTGTGGAGCCAGAAGACAGGGAGTGGAGTCGGATCCTGAATGGCAGTTGGACGGGGCTGGTGAAGTTACTTACTGACGGGGTATGTTACAGCTACAATGCGAAGAATTACCGATGGTCCCTTCAGTGCAACTACAGTAACTGTTGATATGCAGAACTGCATCTGTGTTATAATGATGATACAATTGAAACGAAATCAGACGAGGATCGTATTGGTGTTCCTTTGTTCCTTTTGAGTCGATAAGCTGTAACAGACAACAGACACTATTTCTGTGGCAGCAATAATTGTTCATTGTTCATCAGTGCATTGTTCTACACAGCAGTAATTTAAAACGCGGTGAACAAAGATGTACCTACATTTGTCATTTGAAGTTAAGTTTACAGAAAAACAAGAAGTCTGATAATGGACTTCTTCAATTTGGGGGTAAAACCTTTAGGCAAGAAGGCGTCTCCATGGGCACAATTGTGCTTCCGTCCTTGTGAATGTGTTCCCTTATGCTTATGAATCAGCATTTCTGTTTGGGTTGACAAAATCAAAATGAGGTAATTTGGCCAAGAAGTTTAACTTAGGCTTTCAATCAAATGGTCAGTTCCATTCCACTGATTTACCCATCTCAACTGGAAAGTAAGGAGACAAGTGAAACCGCCACATCTGTCTCATATTTAGATCCATGCATAAAGATTCAGAGTGACAAACAACTCTCCACTGGGCTATTTGACAAAATTTATAAGTTCAAATTTCCCATAGTCAATTTCCCTTTCATGTTGAACAATATTCCAACAGCTCTAGCCTTTGGTGTTTACATGTCAGAACTTTTGAGGTACAATCGAGAATGTTCTCTTCACCAAGGTTTCAAAGAGCGTCATACTACTCGTGCTGAGTTGCACAAGGTTACAACAGTCAAGGCTTCAGTAAAGTTTTCTAGATGTTTTATGGTAGACAAGTGGAGGGCATTTAAAAAGTTGATGCATCAGTGATAAAAATGATTTCCGATGCAATTCCCTATTTTAACTTTTCCCATAGCTTTAGGATTTTTTTCAGGTGAACAGTTGACCTGGTATCGAAACCGAACAATCATGTGTCAAAGTCGATGATTCATAGACACATGCTCAGTCATCAGATTGGCATTGTGTCAATCACTGGATTGTCTGATCCTGACTCCATTGTTTGCAGACCGCGTCGTACGGCTGTACCACTGCTGAATGCGTCGTCAAACATACACATGCTATTGACAAACTTGTACAATCGACTCTTATGAATGTGGAAAGGGTTTTGTGGTATTTAATGATCTGCTAGGACTGCTAGATAAAATGACTTACACGAAGTAACAGAAGTTGTTTTCGTACTTCCAGGACGTTGATATGATTGTGGCACCGATCACTGTGAGCGAAAGCAGATACACAGTCATTGATTTCACAGAGCCATACTTTTACGTCCACTCAGCACTTATCTTCAAGAAACAAGATCCCAACAGCAACAAATGGTTGACCCTACTCTCCCTGTTCCGTTACGAGGTTCTTGTTTGCATCTTCGTATCCTTCATCTTCTCCACTGTCATCCTCTTCGTCATAGAAGAAGTGACACCAGTCCGTTCGTGGACGGACGACAGACCTTCGGATATGCGGACCCGATATAGAGACATATTTTGGTATCATTTCGGAGCTCTTATGGCGAACGGTAAATCGGCAGTGTTCAATAACAAAATGTCTATACTGCCATTAAGTGTTATTTGTTTATTGATATTATACCAGCAATGATTTTACTGCATCACGCTTCTATTTGCTTACCGACTTTATTTGGTTATTGTTCATCATAGGCATATAAAAGAGTATCAGCCCAAAAACCCCGTGTATACGTTTGGGGACATTTGTGTTGAAAAACTTACAATATTATGTGTATCACTTGGCAATTGAGTCAAGTTTACGTCGCAAATCTTGTACCGACGGGGTTAATGCATTCCGACTATGTAAACCATGGGTCTACCCGTTCCGGGTACGACCCTAATGCGTGGTGTCTGAAATTTCGATACCGTTATACATATGATCATGCTTAACAAACCGTCAACCTATATTCCAGGAGGAGCATACCTTCCAAAAACAAAGTCCGGACGCACAGTGCTCAGCTGTTGGTGGCTGTTCACGGTAATAATGGCGGCCACCTACAGTGGTAACCTCATAGCGTTCCTCACCGACGGACGAGAAAAACCTCCCTTCTCTAGCCTGGCTGAGATGGTGCAGCAGGACACGTACAATTGGGGATTCGTGGGAGGGACAGCACTGGTCAATCTCTTTCAGGTCAGTACATGAACACTAAGTCTGAATAAGGTTTTACATCAAATGTAATTTAGCACAATAATATATGGCAATCCCACACATACATAAATGTGAAGCAACGGACGGAAGGAAGAAACATCACTCATGACCATCGGCATGAGTTGATGCAGACATCCAGAGGTCTCTGCACAGAAGATTGTTAATGTGTCTGGGATAAGCATGCGACTGACTCTTCCAGATCCTTCCAGTGTAAACACAGTTTCGACTCTGAAGGGACGTAACTCGGTTCAAGCCAGAGAAACGGTGAAGCGCAGAGACGGAGTTTGAAATATTCTACAGACGCTTCAATCAATAGCCACATACAGCATTGACATATATGATAGATACAGACAAGATGTAAAGAATAATATTCAATGCCACATAACAAGGGAAGCTATGCCATGTTTTCAGGAATCCAACATCTCCGTCTATCACAAGGTATGGCATGGTGTGGAGGAGATAATGGCAAACGAACCTGATTGGTTGAGTCTGGATGGAGACGAGCACATGCGACGAGCGGTCGAAAGCCAGTACGTCTACATAGCAGAAGAGTCCACTTTGGAGATGTGGGACGACCCACGTCGGTGTGATTTACAGATGTTACATGACAACTTCCTATTCAGCAAATATGCAGTTGGTCTGCCAAAACACAGTATATACACACAAGTCTTCTCCGAACAGTGAGTACCATATGCCTTGATACTTGCTATTGATATAGCTGAAATTTCCTAAATGAACTTTTATCTGGTTACGGTAAATGGTTTGCGTTAACATTTTTGTGATCCAAAATGTTGTAAATGTTTATCAAGACAAGTCATAGATATGACATTTTCACAATGACTAAATGTACTCAATCTTCATACTATGGTACAGATGGCAAAGTAGGTATTGAATGAGCCGCTGCTCCAGCAAGTCTCCCACCTGAATCTTGCTTGATTATTGATTTTTACATCACAAGTGATACGTATTTTAATGTCAAAACATTGAAGGATCGTTTTACTAATGTTAATTATCTTTTAATTATTGCTTTTTAAAAATAAATATAACTAATTGGAAAAAAATGATTGTTATGTATAAAAGATGTATTTTTAAAAATTGGCAGTTTAAATTAGTAACTGGGATTGTTAGTGGCGGTATCCTTGTAGGGGGTTTAAGTATCGTAAAATTATGGTCCTCCCGAGAGGATACGTAAGTCCCAAAACATTCAAAGTAAATTTAAACTGTCCTCTGTTTTAATCGTAAAACATATGTAAGATTTTATGTTTGGCTAGATGTGTCTAAATTGCTAACAACTGAAGGGATGGTGTAAATCCAGCTAGGGTCCATGCAGGAAGCAAATGTACTGTAAGTTCCCATGGTTCCTAGTATGGTGACCTACCTTCGGTTGTTGGCTGTTTTTATATTGTCTTGTCATTTGTAGAAGTTAAAATGTTTTAGAGTTAATTACTAGTTTTTAATATATATATCTGTGATAAACTAGTTGTTTTACTATGCTTCGTTGACAGCTTTTTTATAATTCACCTTTAATTAGTATGAATCTATAACTTAATTTAGTCATGATATAGCAGAAATATTGACAATGTGACTTAAAATCTTAATTCACTCACTCACTCACTCACTCTCCCACCGAATGCTTTCTGTGGCCTCAAGTCCATCCCTTTTATAAATGCGCATACATTCATTTAAATACAGTTAAAGATTACAACTGTGTGTATAGATAGAAAATAAATCGATAAAATCTTACTGATACAAAAATGTAGTTCCTCCTTTTCTAAGCGAAATAGTAGTCGAATTAAACTGCCAAATATGCCATGACAATAAGCTCGAAAGTCGTTTGCAAATGCATGTGACGGATAATAATGTAACTTTCTTGTGGTGTAAACGTTTTATTTCTGTTGTAGAATACTGAGAATATACGAAAGCGGCATCCTGAGTCTGTGGTGGGATCGATGGAAACCCAAACATCGGTGTCCATCTCCAAGCAGAAAAGCAAAGAGAGTTGACATGTTAACCTTGCAGAGCGCCTTCTATGGTGCAGGGGTGGGGGTGGCCATATCACTCCTAATCCTTGTTTGTGAAGTAATTCATAAACGGAGATGTAACCAAAGACAGCAAAAAAAGTCTGAGTGTGTGGAAGAACACTCCATGAAATCTGATACTTCATCGCAGGAACTATCTGATCCAGACATACCTTCCAGCACCTGACCCAAGACAGTGTTGTACAGGGGCATTATGACAGCTTATCATCTGTAACGCTATAATGTCGGTATAAACTCATAGACATTTGATAGTTATTGTCTAATATGTTTTGGTATAGCGAACTCATTCAGATACAAGCATGTTTGCAGATTTTACTTTGAACACCATGGCATGACAAACATGGAATTTTAGCATCTTCTGACAATTGACTCGGCTTTGAATAAACCCTTTCATCATATCAAAAGGCGTTAATTCCGGGGAAGACCCTCACAGGTCTTCATATGTTTGGTGAGTGAGTCGAGACATTAACGTTTCGTTAAGTAAATTCCAGCTAAATCATGGCAGTAGACACAGGATACGGATTCAGACACTGCACTATGTGGAGATTGACAGGATATATTGGTGGCAGTACAAGTGAACCCTATCCACACATGTCTCACCCACCGCCTACCACTTTGATGAAGATGTAGGGTCAACATGCTGACAGAGCAAACTACTTTATCGCAGCATATTCATTCTTGTTATATCCTGTTATTCATGTGCCGTGTGTGTGTGTGTGTGTAGTATTATTGGAGTCGTTGTAATGGGGGAAATGGACACTGAATGTTGTTCCTCACGTGAGCCCAGGAAATTTTCTTGTACCAACTGATGATTCTTCCCACCATACAAATTCATACACATTCTATACTGAGTCAAAAAAGAAACTTCACATTCTTTCTTCAGGGCACTATAAAAGAACAAGAGATGGTAAGATGGTTAAATTGTTATTATTTCATTGCTGAGATCTGTGTGATGTACTCGATACACTGACAGTGCCATAATCAGTTTCATTAGGCTACACCGCCGTTCCAACACATGGGTATACAGAATGTCAAGTCACAAGAATAAAAATGCGAAATTTCTCAGTTCAATATCGTGTATGGCCGCCCCCCGCATTCACCACTGCCAAACACCGTCTCCTCATCGACTGCCTGATGCTTGTGAACACGTGGTTGGGGATTCAGCGCCATTGCTCTTGCAAGGCAGCGCCAAGTTCCTGCAAATTCTGAGGTTGGTTCCTAAGACCACGAAGCCTTCTCCCAAGTGCAGACGTCGAGAATGGAGATTGGCAGCCCGCAACTGATTTCGAATGGTCTGTGAGGACAGTCGACCTCTAAACATCTCAGCCCTGGTTCGTGTAGCCGGCAGAAATCTGTCACGTAGGTGACGTAGGACGATTTGACGGTCTTCTGCTCGTGACGTCACACGTGGACGACCCGACCTTGGGCGATCAGAAGTGGTGCCAGTTTGTTGTAGGCGACCTCGCAAGTCATACACAGTACGACGGCTGCATACCATTGCTCTCGCGACGTCAATAACTGATCTTCCCGCTTGCAACATGCCAACGGCAAGTTCACTTTGCACATTGGACAATCGTGGCATTTCAAGTACCGTTAGAACTGTGGTTTAGAAGTGTTTTTTTCAATTCGTGAGGCCAATGCAAACACGTGCATATGAAGAAAACTTCGATGCGAAGATCGACTGCACGTGCAAAACCTGATTTGGCACTAACATCATTTGCACGACGAATGGATGGGTTTGAGTGGGTTTTGCTGACGTTTTTTCTAGAGTCGAAAGATAGGGATCCCATTTCGGATACATAGATATATCATCAGAGAAAAATTATTCATTATTTTTCAAATTACATTTTGTGAAGTTTCTTTTTTGACTCAGTATATTATTCACAATATGCTTTAATGCAATGGAAAACTTCACGTGACTACAAACAATTGATGTGAGTCATTATTCAGGAAAAGATGGATTTATCTGTGCATTCCACATTAATGCAACAGAGGATGCCATAGATTGAACAACTCAATCCTTTACTCCTTTCCGTAAGCATAAGCAAGTATCCATAGTACGAGTATATTATATAGTACGGCGATATCATTTGTTTGTCAATCGCTATGAAGATACAAGATGTTGCACATATGTAACGTTGTAAAAGTTTCACGAGGGGTCGCTGAAAAGATATGATACTGATTCCTGGACGCCGGTGGAATCCGTCATAAACACACTGAATACATCCGGGAACGTGAGGTACAAGTCAAAATTTGGAAAGGCAAAAGACTTCATTTTCGTCACTAATGCATTAAATAATCAAATGTTCTCCAAATACCTACCGTAAACCTTTTAAAATTTTTACTGAAGCCAGGCATGTTCCAATCTTGACAACTTCTGAGTAAGAATCGCATGACTCTTTGAGATTGACTGATTTAGCTTATTAAGCTGTATAGTGTTAATTAATATCCAAGCGTCTGTGTGATCTATCCAACCTGATGACACGGGTGCATATATGTTAAAATGAGATGATCAACGCCAGCAATGTTCTCTTCTTTGATAGACTAAAGGACATACACAGAATCATGCAACTATGGAATCCTAGAAGGGACATTGTCGCGTTGTCACCCTCACAAAAACAATTGTTTGATTGGCATTCTAGACGTTGGTGAGTCAAAAATGAAACATACAACTTTATGGATGACAAATTCTTGTTTACAACATTAAACGACGTTTCGATGTAGATTCTTACATCGTTATCAAGCTAAAAGTGACTACAACCAAATGGTGCGAAGCATATATACATATACTAAGCAGCAAAAGAAACGTCAGTTTGGAATTTTCCTTCGAAGAAACGAATAACTGTAAACTCATTTAATGTTTTGATTGTATATTTTTGACAACATCTCCAACTTTACCTGAGCAAAGACATTCTTTCCCAAACTCAGAATGGAACCCAGGAAATGGTCTCAAAACCGCAACCTGATCTCGGAGATGGTACGGTGTTCTCCATGTGTTTCATGCAACTCATGCTGCACGTGCTGTTCCCGAGGACCAGCCCTATAAAATGCACCCCCACATCTGGTTGAAACATTCACATTACAACGTCAGCTGGATGCCGTGACTCACGACAGCTCAGAGGAACCATGCGCTAGGAAGACTTAAAGCTGGCAACACTGCACAAGCCGTTGCCAATCACTTCCAGGTCAACGTTCGGACCATCTACAGGCTGCAGCAACGTTTCTGGGCCACCAACACCACAAACGATCGCCCCCGTACTGGCAGACCAAGGGTGACAACAACATCAAGTAATTAGTTCCACGCTATTTATGTCCCCTCCTGAACTATATATATAGAATGCCACATTATCTGTGTCGTATATATATATCTATGCAGCAAGATTGAAAGTGACAAACATCTCTCCACAAGACTGTATCACATAAGGGGTGACTCTAGTTTCCAGTAGTCATGGTACCCTTAATGCCGAGCAATATGCCTGCCGCTCCGGCTTTAGTGTTTATATTTATCAACTTTTGGGGTACAAATCGAGCGTACATTTTTAGCAAGGTTTGAAAGAGCCTCAAATGACGATTGCTCAGAAGTTGTTTGATGAATTTATAACATTCAAGGGGTGATTTAAGATTTCCAAAATATTTATGGTGGACACGCCCTCCCAATAGGCTAGATTACAAGCTAGTGCATGTGTTTGTGATGGTTGCTATTTATACACACGTGTTCATGATACACTCGATTCTGATTTTAGAAGAGATGTTTACTACCAAAATGATATCAGATATCGATGTCACAATCCCACGACGTGGACATGACGATATGTGGTGATAAAGTGATGTGTTGTACTAGAGTCAGTACCCAATTACAATACCTTTCATTGAAATGTGTGTCTCTTAAAATTCTGAAACCAATGGCAGAAAATTCAAGAACATGTCTCCCTTATAAGGGTAGTACATTTGTCAAATCTTTACCCACACATATATGCACATTAAATGACCAACGCCCAATTCTCTCTGCTCATACAAACCAAAGTGAGCTCTGAGGTCGTTAGCAACAATGTTGTTGTCTGACAATAAACCGCTTGGCTAACAAGAACTTGGAACATGCATTTCAGAGTAAGTGAGTGAGTTTAGTTCTACGACGCACTCAGTAATATTCCAGCTATAAGGTGGCGGTCTGTAAATAATCGAGTCTGGACCAGACAATCCAGTGATGAACAGCATGAGAATCGATCTACGCAAATGGCATGCGATGACATATGTCAACCGAGTCAGCGAGCCTGATCACCCGATTCCGTTAATCACCTCTTGCAACAAGCATGGGTTACTGCAAATCAATTCTAACCGGGACCTTCACGGGTTTGCATTTCAGCTATACGTTGACACAATATGTGGGAAACATTCAACTCTTATTCCACTTCTCAGTAATATTTACACACACGTCATATGAACAGCATTACCGTGGATGATACTAGTTTCCAGCTTGATGTTAAGATATTCGTAGATACACGTCCGCCTTTCGTAATACCATAGCACACACCGCATAACAAGAAAACCCTCCCTAAGAGTGAATGCGTTTTGTTTAATGCCTTTTTATGATAATATTAATAAGAGTACTTTTAAAGCGCCTCATCCACATCACTGAGGGACATGCTCTTAACGCATACAAGTCACAGTTCATTATTATCCCGGATAACCCAAGCTGCCTGTGAGGCGGTAGAAGGTAAAATGACATGACATACAATACCGGGTACCCATTTTGTGCAAGGTGAACAGAGGTGAGGTCGACGAGTCCGTTTCAAGTTGTATCTACGGGTCTTAGGCGTGTACAACGTCAGTGGAAGTCTTGAGAATGTGCTTGGTGCTGACAAACCAAATAACGATCCAGGATTAGAAACCAAGTTTATCGTTTTGTGGTACAACTATTGGACACAAATCTGAACAACTTACCCACCCAGAAGAACAGAAAATATCAGGTGGTCATTTGCAATAAAGTATATAAAAAGACCGAAATACACAGGCTCCACTAACTTTGTTTTCCTCAAACACTGATAGATACAATATATTCATAGATGTTACTGTGGTGTCATTGTGGTCATATACAGGCATTATGATAAGCCAACGTGTACAATACACCCTGCATATCACAACTGTTGTGCAATGTGTTGTTCTTACGACTATTCACATCAGTACATTTGCCTCCCCTAAAATAATGAAGCGTTTTGTACTCAGCATTATTTCAGCTATATGGTGGC